AGTGAGTTTATGAATGATTTCTTTCGTATTGCTTTTACTCAACACTTTTAATAATTTATTCCACAGACTAGCGTGTGGAATTATCACGAGATCATCAGGAGTCTTCGAAAATACGAAAAGAAGTTGTGCCTGCGATGGGACGACCCTATGGGATGAGCGAGATGAGTCTAAACAAAAAGGTTCATTCAAAAATACTTTCATATATCCAGGTAAATGCACCATCGCCTAATACTCGAAGTATTTATCGATTAAATACAATTTTAAATGCCAATGTTTTGTGTGTCTTTTCAGTGTGTGGTAATAATCTCTAAATTCGACCCAGAGTGAATAGTGCACTTTTTGAAAACTACTATAAGTTTATTTCTGTATGCAGGTCATGTAAAAGTCATATCATTCCATAATATTCCTGATGAAACATTTTTATATTTCAGTTTTTACTTATGAGGAGAGCTGAAGGTATTTATAACTCAAATAAAAATTCAATATAAACCCATAAATAAATGTTTATTGTGTTCGATCAGATTGATTGAATTCGTAATTTATCATTTACCAGTGTGCGTGACGTAAAAAAAATAATAATAATCCAAAAAGGTATGCGAATAACTAGGAAAATTCGATCGAATGAGAATAAATCATTCGTTATCAGAACCACTGTCGTCAGAATTAGTTCTGCCTCGAATTGTTTTTGATTTCTGGTTTCCAAAGAGTAGATTAGACGGCTTCTTTCCCTTTTCTGGTGGATTCAACAGGTCACCAGTGTATGATATTGCACCAGACTACTCCATCATCTCTGTGGAAAAATCGTCGCAATTTCCGAGGTCCGTGAAGCCTACGATGTTGTCTTTTGTCTTGTTGTCTGAGATGAGGGCTATCGTGGGAATTATTTTGATCCACATTATGGAAATAGCTTTAAGAAAACTTGGGCGGTGAAAGGTGTTCACTGCTGGATAACCCCTTGTTGACGATTTCGGTTTCCTCTTGAGCTCTCGCATCTTTCTTCGGGTCAAGAATTGATCCAGGAATTCATCGACTTCTGTATATCCCGATAAGAATTTCCCAGCTATTTTCTGGACACGAAGGAGAATACAAATAAAAATCACAATGATCATTTGATAATTGTTTATATAATTGCTTAAATAATTACTTCTGATTCTTTACAGCCTTTCTTTCAGACAGTTCATGTAATGTTTTTTTATTCTCCTCGAGTTGGGGTTGCTTTTCTAGATTGACTTCGGCCAGAGAACGATTTCCAGCGATCAGAACTTCCTTTTCAGATTCCAATTCTTCAAACTAGGAAACCTCACGAAAAGGTAGTAAGTTGCATATCTAATAATAAGACAAGAAAATAATGAGACAACCGCCTTATTATCCATTTATTGTCATCGATTAAATAATTCACCTGTTTTATGTCATTGACAACTTCCTCGAATCTTCCATCATCGTTCAATATTTCTCCCAAATCAGTGTTGCTGAGATGATTCAACATCGACAATGCAGCTAGAATATCCATAGAAATTGATGAATTTATTATTAATTCATTATTATTAATAAATGTCATGGTTATTTTTTTATTCCAGGTTTTTAAATCATAACAATTTCCCATCTATTGACTTAGTGGATTAGGCCTACAGGGGATACCACTTAAAAAAAAACGCGTCAAGTACTCTACCCCTTGGGTGACGTGGAAAGAGTTTGACTGTAATTACTTGATTTATGAAAAAATAGTCAATACTCAGTAAGAATCTCTCTTATTGAAATAATCATGTACCCATTGTTCATTTATGCTTTTGTAGACAATTTTTATGCTATACCTTTTTTTTTCATGTCAATTTGAAAGAAAAAAATCAAACGACTCGACTGGCATTCAAATGTAAACGCCAGAAATCGCTGAATTGTGGGGAGGAAAAGCACATGAGGAGAAGGCGTTATACAGCGCTACGTACGACGTCTGAAGGTACTTGTCTCCTGTTTTGGTCTCGGCGACATCAAAGCTGGGCAATACCTCTCTGTATCATACCTTAATGTCCATCTGCGACAGCAGAGAACTCCGAAAAGACGGAAGAAAAAATAATTGAATGGTAAAAAAATCGTGAATTTCATCGAGACCATTGTTTCACTGAGAGTCAAGTGCATCATTCCGATAATATCGATTTTCACATCATTCTGGGGAGTTGATTTGAGCCCTCGACAATGGAAACACGTGTCGAAAACAGTAACTAATACTTCTGATCAACAGAAGAATTTAACAATATCGAAAAACAACTGGATATCGTCGATGAATTCCACACTGAAGACTGATGTGTGTGGAGTCATCTGGACATAGTCCTGTATATATGTAACGTGGACATATATTGATAAGTTTCGTCGGGGTCGTTGAATTAATAGTTGCATTTCACAATGGTCGATGTAACTCTTTACGATTCGACAATTTGTCGATTATGTGCTGAGGATAATGCCAGTGGCGAATTGTTGTTCACTTCTGGAGAGAATGAACCGGATTTGAGTTCCATGGTCAATCGTTACTTGCCACTCAAGGTAAATTATTCATCTGGGGTTAGAGGACGGTTTAAGATACAACTTGACTCCCTGGGTGACCAGGGGACAGTGATTCAGAGACTGCACTTGATTTTTGTTGCCAGAATGAATACTACATGATTCAAGATATTTTATGGATTCAGACATCTTCATTTTATTTGAATTCCAATTTTCAAGGGCCTCGGGATTTCTTTCGGGATCTATGAATACAATCATTTTTATATTGATTAAATGAGGCTCAATTAAATGCTTTACAAAATTATTGAGAAATTTAAAATAGGAAATCCGATAAAATTCCAAGATATTTGTTTCCAAGTCTCTACATTTAACTTTATCGTAAGACAGAATTCAACAAATTTATTAATATATTTTTTTATTTCTAAATTTAACTCAATGTCACTAGTATTTTCTGAATCTCTTACAGATCCGAGATAATGGAAAGCTGCCACGTACGATCTGTCCAGGTTGCAACATCCAGATGGAGTCAACCATTCAATTTTTCGAGTTGCTAGTGGAAGGCCAGCGAAAAATCCGAGAGATGTACAAACAGCAAGTAGAGAAGCAAAAGCGAAGCGAGCGCGAGCGTTTACGTGAAAACACAGAGATAACAGCTGATGCCCCAGAGCTGGAGCCCTACGGATCCCCTCCAGAAGATGCCATCTCCCAGCAGATAATAATTAAAATCCTTCCAGATGGTTCAATGTACGCAGCAGACCACGATATGAGTCTGCAAATGGAGGGTCTGGACAAGCCAAAACGAAAACGAGGTCGACCCCCAAAAATTCAGGTGGAACCCGAGGAGGAAAAAATGGTGGAGGAACACCTGGATCCCATTTCCCAGGAAGAGGACGAAAAGCAGGAAGAGGAGGAAGAGATCAGCGAGGATGGGCGAAGAAGGAGAAAACGAAAGGCCCCGAAGCGATTCTCAGAGGCTGTCCAGGGAAAAGAGTTGGAAAGAATTTTCAAGGAGGAGGGTGTCATCGACGAGGAGGAGGACGACCCAGGGGACAACGACTACGAAGTCCTTGATGAAGTCCTCAACGATCCAGTGACAACCGATCAGGAGGAAATAATCGGCCACCTGGAGACCGAGGAAGGGATCGACCTGGGACAACTAGTGGTCATGAATCGAGGAAGGGGCAGGGGTCGTCCAAAATTCCGTAGAAAAAAATCGAAATACACTTGCGAAGTGTGCGGTCGTGCTTTCTCTCAAAGAAATCGGTGGGCAGTGCACAAGGCATTCCACAAAGGTGTTAAATACGAGTGCTCCAAGTGTGAGAAGCAGTTCACGAGTCAGGAGAATCTAGCGCTCCATCAGAAAAAAACGGATCACGAGGGTGAGCAAGTGATTTGGAATCCTGAGAGTCAGGAAGCTGCTGAGGGAGTGGAAGAGGCACCAAAAAATCTTCAGGAGCTGGATAGAAAAGAGGCGGAAATTCCAGAGGAGTTGGAAGTCACAGAGAGTCTTACCCTCGATAAAGAGGAGCACCTGGAGGAACAATTGGAGGAGTTACAGGAACCCCAGGACTCCCACAGCTTTACCTGCGACCTCTGCGACGAACAATTTCTCACGAAAGAGTCCTGCGAAGACCACATGAAGACACATGAAAAACCCTCTGAGGAAGCCACGGAGAAGAATAACGCCTTCCCCTGCTTCCTCTGCCCCAAAACCTTCTCCACTCAATCCTCCCTGAAGACCCACCACTCCACCCACGACGTTAAATCCGACAAAGGATATCCCTGTGACATATGTGGAAAAGTTCTGAATCACCCGAGCTCAGTGGTCTACCACAAGGAGGCAGAGCACAACAACGGTCGCAGATTTGTCTGCAATAAATGTGGAAAGAGCTTCAAGCACAGGCAACTTCTTCAACGTCACCAGCTTGTACACTCTGACGATCGCCCCTACGTCTGCAAATCCTGTAACTCCAGTTTCAAGACAAAAGCCAATCTAATAAATCATTACTCCACTCACACAGGTGAGAAAAAATACACCTGTGATATCTGCAATCAACAGTTTGCCCACAAAACAAGTCTCACCCTTCACTATCGCTGGCACAGTGGCCACAAGCCCTACACCTGCGACGTATGTCAGAAGAGCTTCTCCCAGAATGGGAATCTCCAAGAGCACATGCGAATTCATACAGGTGAGAAACCCTACTCCTGCGATTACTGTGGCAGAAAATTTACAACATCTTCACAATTTAAACTTCATGTCAAGAGACACACGGGAGAGAGACCCTGGAAGTGCGAATTCTGCGCCAAAAGTTTTCTCCACAAGGACACGTGGAAGTGTCACGTCAGGAGGCACAAGGGAGAAAGACCATTCCAGTGTTCAGAATGTAATCGAGGATTTACTGAGCAATGGGCACTGAAGAAACACCTAAGACTCCACACTGGGGAGAAACCGTACTCCTGCGATGTCTGTGGAAAGGCCTTCGCTGACTGCTCCAATCTGACAAAGCACAGAAAAGTCCATCGTGATAATAAAGTCGTGAAGGTGGGCGGGTTGGCAAAAGGAGAGGGTGGAGAGCTCTGGCAGATTTTGCCAACCGAAGGGGGTGAGGAGAGCCTGGGAGAGGGAATTACCCAGGTGATCACTGAGGAGGGATCTGAGGATGGGGTTTCTCAGATAATCTACGTGTCGTATCAGGATCCCGATGATCCCAATCAGTCCAGAACTCTGCACTTTGGAATGCTGGAGAAGGAGGAGATAGCTGAAACTGCTGGTGAGTCTCTGCCAAGTCTTGACGTCGAAGATGGGGGGATCAAGGGAGGGAGCCTGGTAGAACCAAATCTACAGCTGCAGATCACTGACGAGGATGGCAATCCCATTCCTCTGTCCATTCAGGACGCCAGGCAGCTACTGGCTGGAGGACAATTTGTCAGTCAACTTGAGGATGGGCAGATGATCAAAGTACACTCTGGAGCTGTTACTGAGGAACTTGCCGAACAGCTTGGGGTTCACATTCAGGGAATTCAGGTGGAAGCCGAGGCCAGTCGAGAGACTGAGGGCGAGGGAAGTGAGGGACCCGTTGTTAAGGTTCTTGGTGACGGGATCGAGGAGCAGGGGGAAGGAGAGGGCACAGATGGAGAACAGACGATTGAGTTCACAACTCAGGATGGACAGAAAGTGCGATTAGTTGCGCCTTATCACGTCGATCCTCTTCAGCTCGCCTCTGAGTACCTGACAATTGTCTAATTTTGTGAGGAACTCAAGATGACTTTTTAGTTTGTATTTTAGGAGTTTAATTCGTGTTTGTAAACGTTACAGCGATGTGGTTAGAAAACTAGGTATATACAGTGGTTAATTGTAAATAGAATAAAGTTAAGGTTTTTTCAATATCACAGAGTGTTTGAGATTGGGCAGAGCTAATCCTCGGGGGCTTGGTTGTTGTTTCGCAGACGATGGGCTTCTCGTGTCTGAAATGTAAATGAAAGTATTTTTTTCTGTGTGAACATATTCAAAAGGGATATATTTATTTGCCATCAGGAACGTTATTCTTACCTGTCTGCGTCTCCTTTGGATCAAGTATCGTCTAGTGATTATCCTCATCGATGTCATCACAGCCTGGAATATTAATAATTAATTAATGACCAGTGTTCATTATTTTTCCCGTCTTTTTCTTACTCTTATGGCCTCGATGTTCCTGAGGATGTGCTCCTTATGAAATCTCGCCTTCGATCGCAATGTCTGCAATTTAAAAAAAAATTTTCAATACAGGAACAGACTCATCTCCTGGGAAAACCCACGATTTATCATTGTCAATAATAAAACTTTTCTTTGGTATGCCATAGGTACTGATAATGATAATAATCTCAGGATTAATTACCATGGCTGCTCACCTCTTTTTGTTCCTTCCTCTTTCTCGTCATGGGCCTCTGATTACACTGTCTGCACATAAGCTGCAAGAGAACCAAAAGATGTGAAAAAAAATCGTGAAAATATTGAAAAGCCAATACTCCTCCACGACGAAGAATATTTGAGAATTGAGACTGCTTAATTAATTTCTCTCACCATCAATCTCTTTTCAATTTGATCGTACTCCTTGATGTGAAATTCATACTTTGCCATGAACATCTGCAACAATCGAGAAATAATAACTGAATCAACTGCCAATTCGATAAAAAGGAATATCAATGGAATAAAAAAGAGAATAACCTCTATCTTTTTCTCCACTTTCAGCACAAATTTCTCCATAAACGAAGGAATCTTGAATGATTTGGGGAGTCACTTTATGGAACGAAGTCTTCAATCGAATATTTATTTATATTAAGCACTTTTTGAAAGCTGAACACCAGAAAAATCGCCAGAAATTCAGGACTAACGATTCCGATTTTTGTTTACTATTTTTTTGGTTGAAGGATATGAGAGAGCAACGGATGGCGGAGCCACTTCCCTCTCCTTTTTTATTTTATTGAAAAATGTTATAATGAGGTGAAGAAATTATTAGAGTGATTTTTGATCCATAGAGCTTTATTTGATTCAATTCGATCATTCTATTTCATAAAAAAAAATATATTTCAACAATGTGGCACGAGGCTTCAAATTCATTGTCCATGATTACAAAGCAGAAAACGTATGGAAAAAATTGATAGGAAAACCTGAAATTTTTAAGAATATTACTATTTAATTTCTATTGGAACTCGATAATAATTCTGTGGGAAATGTATTTTTTGATATTTCAAGGTATTATTTTCTTATGAGGAATTTAATAGAAAGGAAGTCAATAGATTATGATTTTTATCTTCTTTTCAACAGAATTCTGTAGTTATAATGGGATTACGATAGAATAGTAGAATTCCAATATAAATTCAATAGAATTTTGCAAAAAACGAAAGATTTTTCTGCCAATGTTTTGATACGTGTCACTAAGGGCTGCGATCAAATATAAACACGATTAAATGCTTAAATTAAGTGTTTTCAAGCTTAATGGTGAGCAGCATTTTTCATATCGAAGCGGTGTGAGACGATGACATCAGCGAAATGGAAAAACCTAACTGAAAAGGCTATTTTCACATATTGTTGAACATTGATCTGAGCTGCGAGTGGATTTGGGGAGAATGCCAGAGAAAATTTCATTGGAATTTGAAATCCACCAATTTACGAATAAACTCCTGATATCTTCTGTCACAATTGCGGTCTTCTCCGGGTAAATGAATGATTAATAGATGAATAATCAACTTCTACACCCCTTGAAATAAAATATTTAACATTATTCTACTTAAAAACGAGTCTGTCATTTTCCCCTGAACCCACGTGTTTTCCTAAATCACAGCAGAAGATAAAAAAGTTGTTCTTAGATAGGAAATCACATCCAATGATTCATGCTGGGAAATGCTGAATGGTAAAAATCCGTAAAAATGTATTTTCGCCGAGAAACGATGAATTTGCTCGTCGATATCGACTGAATGTCCCGCCATCCGCGCGACGAAATTATTTCTGTATCCTTCGATGTGTCCATTATAATTTTTCTCTTCATTTTGCAGAAATCTAGTATCTCGTCTTCATGCAGATAGCCACATACACAATGAAATTCTTCCAATTTAGCCTGACGAGGAAAGCATAAAGTTCTGAGTGTAGTCGTATTCGATTGTTGGAATGACCGATTGCACGAACTTCAGGAAAATAATAAGGTACATGTGCACACCCAGTTCTCCACCGCCTTCCATAACCGTTTCTATGATTTTCTTCATGACTTCGGCGTGTCTGAAAATTTTCAAAAATTTTCCTGTCATTTGCTTTTCATTCAACAATAGAGAATATAAAAAATTTCCAAAAAAATGCATCGGAAATTTCCAGTAGACTGGAGATTTTTCATTTTTTCTAGGTGCTGAATTTACCTGCAAGGATGAACAGATGCCATCGGTGGTCCAGGTAAATGGGGATGTGTTTCCATCGTAACTGTTTTTTTCGCATGATCCTGACTGACGTCCTCATACATCTCCTCGACAGTTAAGGGCTTCTGGTTCTCATCGTAACCAAATAACCACAATCTCGGAGTCTGATAATATTTATCATATGTTATGTGTAAATCGTACGTTCTCGTGTGGATAATCTCCCCCTCCGGAAAATTCTCACGTTTCTCTTTCATAGGTTTTTTGCTGCTCTCTGCTGCGTACTATAAACGAAAAATAACCTTCATAATTCCCGAATAATCGAGATCGAGAGGGAATAGTATTTCACGGAGCATTCTAATTCCTTCGAATTGTTTTCATTTTTTTTCGTAAGTCGATGATTTTAATCGAAAAATAATGACCTTGTCCTGTTCATCGAGCATTCCACTGACTTCGAAAGCCTCCATATCAGCTGCTTCCTCGTCGTCATCGTCGTCATCGTCCTCGTTATCGTCAGGAGCTCCTGATGTTGGCGACTGACTATCATCTAACGTCATTTCAGAAACCTTCTCGTCAATTCCTCCAATACTAGCGTCATAGTGGTGGGTGTCCACCCACCCACCCTCAGGGTCATCAGCCTCGATGATACGCTCCTGTTCATCGCAGTATTCAATCTGCAAATAATTTTCCCAATTAAATATCTCACAATCCCAGTCATGAGAATTCTATAAAAATAAAAAATGAGTTCCCCAATGACAACAATTTATCACCTGTTTGCACCTTCGACTGCAGGGGACATTCTTTGTAAGCAAGAACTGTTTTTTTTTAGGCAAATACGATTTAGTCCTGTCCTCGTCTCCTGTTGCCCACTGCCAGGTGGGACAGTGGTGCACCAAATGATCACCAGCTGCCACAAATTCCTCTGGTGTCAACACTCCTGTCTCACGGAATTTGCTCTCCTGAGTGACCATTTAATAACCAAATATTCAATACAACATAATATTACATTTATTACAAACATAATAAACAAACAAACTCACTAATTCCAGATCGTTATTCAATAATTTAAATTAAACTCAATGACAAATCGCATTTTATACAGTGGAAACGTTTCTTTAAAAATTTTGTTACATATTTTGATAAGGCGTTTTCATTAAAAAAATTAATCAAGAAAATTTATAGAATCAAAAAATTGAATACAACAACCTTCTCAATTCGATTAACTGTCCCCATTATAATTCTTTTTCTGGTACTTCAATATGTTTCAAGGATTAATTAATTTTTTAATAATTCTAACTAACAATTCGCAAGATTTTTAAAAATTAATATTTACGTTGAGCCCAGGAGAAATTACCTTGAGTACTGGGGTTAGGTACTCAGCAACTCCTAGAGCAGTGCCTTTCACTGAATTAATAACACTCTGCATTTTGCTCGAGAGCTTGTTAAAATGGCTCAGCTGATGGACAGATGAATAACCGGCTAAAATCGGCACAAGTCTTTTCTCAGCAGTCAGTAAAAATCATAACGAGACTTTTGACACTCCCGGAGCCAGTGAGATCGATCTGTAGTGTACGACACAACGCGCACATGGACACAACGAATGACAAGGGACTCAAATGCACTCAAAGGCACCTAGATGTTTGGCGATTCATCAGAGGAAGGAATAACGTACAATTAATCAACACGTGATGAGAATGCATTCGTCTATCGATTGGGGAAGTATCGGCCAATGTCCTCACTCTCGCTCGATTATTCGATGTTTAGAGCTGATTAGATAATAATTCTAATTGCAGGAAACTATTCCAAATTTATATGTGTGGGTTATGGCCATGTTGATGACGACCTCAGGCCGCAGCCAATGGCAATTGCGCAGATGCACCAGCGGGAATTTAACCTTGACAATGAAGATGAAAAATGTACCAAATATCCATTTTTCAAGAGAACTATTCAGATCTTTAATATTGCCATTCCCCAGCTCAGTAATTTCTTAGCTCTCTATTTTCTGAGTTATATACTTAGCATTAGTGTAAATTATAATCTTAAAGGTATTCCTTAAAAAAATGTAACTATTCAAAAAATTATCGCCATTCTTCTTTCTACAAACGAAAATTATTTTAAGAGTTAATTCACGAACACGTGATGTCATAATTATTACTAATTGTCATAATGAATACCCCAGGAGGATCATTCGGAAATTATTCGGATGGAGGAATAACGTTTGTAAAATTATATCTGCACTTGAAGACCAATCACTCTTCGTGTTTATTTACATTTTTGTTTGTGTACTTAATTCAAGGGCATTGCGGATTTCGACGGTCATGAACCCTCGAGAACGTAAAATTCTAAGAATTGACGAGTAAAAATTCTCCAGGACTCTTCAGTAATAAATAGTCCTCCGTCAGTTCCCCTGATGATGAATTTCAACGATTTAATCATTTTTGGTAACGATGGAGAAGGCACAGTCAACTAGCACCCCTTTGGGACAGACCCCAGAGGGGTTTGAGCTAGATTCAGTTATAAGTCCTATAGAAGCAATTTTAAATCGAAGGACAATGGGAAACAGGAGAACTCCTGGGGTTAACAAACCTCGACTATCTTCGAAAGGAAAGAAGAGAACGATCGCATCAGTTCGAAAGCAATTACGTTCTGATTCTTCGGATGATGGGCGTAGAAAGAGGATCTCTCCTGTCCTGAGGAAAGCCCCAAAGCTAGTCAAATGGAAGTCGTTGAAGAAAAAAAATGTGGAAAATCAGAGGAAAATGCAAAAGACGCAACGTAAGAGACTAATTATTATCTGTTTATTCAACCTTAAATTAAAAAATTTTGAATTTTTTGACTGACAAATAAAAAATATGTTCTATTTTAGTTCAATACTTCAGAGAAATTATTCAAATTAGATATTTAAAATAGATTTTCCTCCACTGCAGATCGTCAGGTTAGAGAGCCTGAGGTGATTCGTGAAGCTCTCGAGCCTATCGATATTATTCAAATCCTAGAGAAGGAGACATTAAGTGGCCAGCGGCGTGATAATTTGGATAGCACAAAAGATACTAGACTTTTAAGCAGGGAAGATGATGAACTTGATGCAGTCCAAATACAGGGCAGGGTAACTGATGATGAAGACAGCGCACGAGAAATTCCTGTGGAGGAAGAAAATTTGGAAACGGAAATTTTTGCAGAGAAAGAAATTTCTCGTGAGGAAGATATTTCTTCAGAGAAAGACATTTCTTCAGAAAACGAGTTTTCTCCAGTGAAAAAAATTCCTCCTAAAACAATGTCTCCATCAGTTCATAAAAAGATCAGTCAACACCAAATAAATGAGCTGGACAAATCAAATCCTTGGAGATCATCCACATCGGAAGAACTCTTTGCCCGATTGATTGGCGAATCCTCTAATAAATCACCGATCCTAGATTCACCTGATTTTTCAGACACGATGGACTCGTCATCAGGTCCTGAGGCGCTCACTCCCCCAGAAGAATTCCCTCTTCAAGAACGCATCGACGAGACTCTGCGTGAGTACAAAGTCCCCCACTGCATACCCAAAAACCGTGGGATCCTTGAAAAATCGCTGATTAATCGGTGGCCGTTACGAAGAAAGACTCTTGAAGAAAGACGTAGAATACAAAAGATCGCTAGAAAATCTTGTGCTGGAAGATATCTGGGGTTCTTATCGCATTACAGGTTCGTGTCTTATTCATCTCTCGGTGAAGATTCCACTGACGAGGAAACAATCACCGGATTACCTCCAGGAAGAAGTAGAAGAGAAAGAATAAAAAGGAGAAGAAAAAATGTCAGAGGTTATGATCAAAGGAACGAGACTCCATTTAAGGCCTCAGCTCCGACATCTGAATCTTCGAATGAAGACTCACGAGTAGAGAACGAAGAATCTTCTCATCGTCAGAAAATTAATATCAAAAAGAGAAAAGGGACTAACGCGGATGATTTAATTGCTACATCAAAGAAAAGAAGAACCGCTGGAAGATTGGAGTCTTCAACCCGAAGGATTCAAGAGGAAATAAAATCATCTTCTTGTCTTGAGGAGTCATCGGATCAGGAAGGAAGAAGCGAAATTGACGAAACGTCGAGTTCATCCATCAGACCAAGGAAAAGAATCACAAGGCGGCTTAAAGTCTCAGACAGTGAGGAATCCTCTAACTTCATGAATTCGAGATTACAATCTGAATTATTCCCAAGGAAAAAAACTGCGATTTCATTTAATTCGATGGAGGATTGGTCGGAATAAAGATCACTCTTTATTCCAACCATCGAATGTGCCCTCATTCTTCTTTACTACTTTTTTTGCGATAAAATCTCTTTTTTTTCGTGAAGAGTTATTCCTCTTCACGTTAGTCATCTCTATAAATCTCCATTCTTTGTTTTTCTATTTATTCAAAGAAAAAAAACAATAATTTATTATTCATATATTTGTTGTTCAAGTATTTACATTTTTTCTAGAGAAGAAATCGATCAAGTTATTGAACAAATGTTCTAGTTATTGTATGAGAATTTATTTATTCTGTTATGAACGTTGAAATACATTTTTGTTGTGTTCTCCACGTATTGTGTTTATCGAGACATTTATTTGGGGAATTGGAGAGTTGAAGAACCGGTCTATTGAGCTTGATTGCCTGATGATTCGAATGCAGCGGAAAGTATATGAGAATAAAACGATTTAGAGGTGGTTCGATTTAAAGTGGGGTCTGGGGATATAGTGTGTGCATATAAGAAGCAGTCGAAATGTCAAAGGTGTTGCGAGTCCACCTCAGTAGTCCAATGTTACTACAAAGTACGTAAAGTAATCGATCTCTATGATATCTATCAATTGGAATCAATACAGCTGATTAATTACGACTAGTTCCCTGCTATTGAGGTTAGATTATTATTGAATTCTGTTGCAGATCGATATCAAAGTCTCCAGCAGATAAACCATATGTGAGTATTACTTTATAAAGATGGACCAATTATTGAATTTTTATTTTTTCGCACAGTTTTAATATGGCGTCGAGGAAAGGGACTGCCCAATGCAGAAGATTCACATCAATTCAGCTGAATAAACAAGAGTTACCTAGACAACCGGTTCCTGAGCTGCAGAAAACTGCTGAGAGATATTTGAGATCGTTGAAACCATTGCTGAACGATCAAGAATATTTGAATACAGAGAAAATCGTGCAGGATTTTATCAGCAAATGTGGCGTAGGCCCGGAATTACAAGCAAAATTGTTGGAAAGATATGAGAAGACTGATAGCTGGATGAATGAGTGGTTTTTACACGCGGCATACCTGGGATATAGAGATTCTGTTCTCCTTATGTCGAGTCCTGGAACAGTAGGACCACTGCAAGAATTTAAATCACCCGAAGATGTTCAGAAATTTGCTGCTCAATTAATTGTAGCTGTGGCTACCTACAACGATTTAGTGAAAAAAGGGGATATCAAGCAGGAAATGGTGGGATCTACGCCCTTGGATATGCAGCCATACGCTATGATATTGGGAACCCACAGAATTCCAGGTCTTCCAGCGGACAAACAAGTCCACACAGACACATCACAGCACATAATAATCCTGAAAAACCACAATATCTTTAGACTTCAGATAATCGACGACTGTGGAGTCCCCTTTTCAGAATCGAAGTTAATCCCCGCGATCAAAGACATCTTCGAGCGATCCTGCACTCCAGGAGTTCCTGTGGGGATTCTCTCGGGAAACCAGAGAGACACCTGGGCACAGGACTTCGAGGTCCTCAGGGCACTTGGCGGTAACTCAGAGCTCATAAAAACTATCGAGGAGGCTTTATTCATCCTCTGTATCGACAGGGAAATTCCCTCTCATAAATTCCAGGGGAAGGGCGAGTTGTCTGTGAGAGCTAAACAAGCCCTCACAGGATTCAGCGTTGATACCAACGCAGGAAACAGATGGCATGATAAAACTCTGCAGTTCATTATCTCCCCCGATGGATTTTTTGGAACTGAATACGAGCACAGTCCCTGCGAGGGTGGACCCATCGGCGTCATTCAGGATTTTGTCTTGAAATACGTTGAGAACAAGAAGACCTCGTCGCAGAACGAGATTGCCAAGGATTTCCCAAGGGCTGAGTTGTTGAAATTCCAGGTTGATGGTAGAATTGAAAAGTCTATCGATGAGGTGACGAGATTTGTTGAGGGAATATGCAATAAAATCGATATGGAGTGTTTTGTGTTTGACGCCTTTGGCACTGGAGAAATTAAGAAACTGAAGATGAGCCCTGACAGTTTTATTCAAACTGCTATGCAAGTGACTTTTTATAAGTTGCATGGGAAACCGCCAGCTCATTATGAATCCGGAGGGCTCAGGAGATTCAGGGGGACTAGGACTGAAGCTATTAGATCGACTAGTGTTGAGTCTGTGGAATTCGCCAGGATCATGATGGGAGGAACCAAAATGGAGAAGAGGGAGGCGTTGGTGAAGGCCATCAATGCTCACAAGAGAATTGCTGGAGAGGTGAGGAAGACAAACAATTTCCGTTTTTTATTTGATTTTTTATTAAACTTTTTGCTACTTTTTGGATGATTTTTTGAGTCCATTGCATTTTCGAGACATCGTGGAACGGTACATCGATTTTTTTTTCAATTTCGTCAGGCTGTAACAGGAGCTGGTGTTGATCGTCATCTCTTTGGACTGAAGATGATTGCCAAGGAACAGAATATAGACCTTCCAGCCCTGTACTCCGATGTTGGATTTACCAGGAGTTGTCATTGGAATCTTACATCGAGTCAAGTAATAAAAAATATCGATTTTCATATAGCAATTAGTACAACGATAATCGTGTAAAAAAATTGAACAGAAAAATTACGGAAAATTTCCATTAATTTAGTAATTTAATTTTTTCTGGGTGAATCAATCATAGGTGCCTTTCAAGTCTGCATCTTTCATGTGCTATGGACCAGTCGTGGAAGATGGATACGGTTGCTGTTATAACCCGAGGGCTGACGAAATATTTTTCGCGTGCTCGTCTTTCAATTCGTGCTGTGAAACTCGTACGAAAGAATTCGCTGATACTTTGCGACAGGTCCTCTGTGACATGAAGGACATTTCCACAGACTAATTTTATATTATAAATATACAAATATAAAATAATATATTACAGTATTTTCAATTATGACGATGCAGGATTGGCCTAATTTTTTGAGATATTTACATGAATAAAAAATTAGAGATGCACAATAATTTGACAATATTTCCTCAACGTATAATTAAACTAATTCCTAACTTTCGAAGTGAACTATTGAATCCTGAAATAGTTAATGAATTTTTTAAATATTGAAAGAACTACACCCATCCCTTTCTAATCCTTCAGTTTCTTTTTTCATTTAGGCAAAATAAATCTTGAAAACAATTTGAATTTCGTAGCGGAACGTCTTTTTGCAGTGGACTGTGAGAATATGCCTTAACTGTGTCGACTGAAAAATACCTTGAACAAATAGTGAATCCCGGTAGAATATTTTTTTTTAAATATATAAATATGTCTGGTGAAGTTATTGCAAAACACAGGCTCCACAGTGGGATATTTCATCCCCTCTTACGTCAGTGGCAGACGAGAAATGTCGAGATTACTCCTGATAACATCATGTATCCAATATTTATTCTGTAAGTACAGGTTACAACACTTGTTATGTATAGATAGTTGAATCTGTGGAACATTTTATGCAAGTAATTCACGTTAATTAATGTTTCGTCTTCAGGGATGAGCCCGATGCTAAGGATGAAATATCTAGTATGCCAGGAATATTTAGATACGGGATAAATCAATTGAAATCGACTTTGGAGCCGTTAATAGCCAAAGGATTGAAATCTATTTTAGTGTTCGGAGTGATCAGTAATGAATTTAAGGTAATCAATTAAGAAACAAAGTAATTTTTTAGAAATTCTCTTCTAAAATCACTTTAATGAATAAGGATTTTAGGAAAAACAGCTAATAATTTTATTGTTAAGGATTTTTAAAACCCCTGAAAACGTGTTTCGTGTAATTTTCTGTCAAAAAAACTCGTTTTAAGATGAATACAAAATAAAGGCGGAGAATAAATTGTATTTCAAGGATCTTCTGGGAACTAATGCTGACAGCCCTAAAAATCCAATCATCCAGGCATTACCAATGTTACGAAAATGGTTTCCTCATCTAGTAATTGCTTGTGATGTCTGTCTATGCCCTTACACAATTCCTGGGCATTGTGGGATCCTCACTGAAGATGGATTGATCGATAATAAATCGAGTATCGAAAGAATAGCCGAGATTGCTGTGGCCTACAGCCGAGCAGGTGAGACTCCATAACAATCTCGTTATTTTTCTTTTTTTTTTACAAAATATAATTTAATAAAACATTATATTTCACTAGGTGCGCATATAATTGCACCATCAGACATGATGGATGGTAGAATTAGCGCGATAAAAAGGGCCTTATCGAGAGAAGGATTCGATAACAGAGTGGCAGTACTATCTTATTCTGTGAAATTCGCATCTGGATTTTATGGACCTTTTCGTGATGCTTCTAAGTCGGCTCCAAAAAGCGGAGATAGACAGAGTTATCAGTTACCCCCTGGCAGCGTAGGATTAGCTGCCAGAGCAGCTGTAAGATAACATTCCTGGGCTTATTTCTGTCATCAATTCATTCTATAAAAAATTGTACTTAATTTCCATGGGAATTCTACAACTCTCTTGGAAAATTATTGCCCGAAATCTATTAAAAATCATTCAACGTCACCCCACGTATCTAAATAGACATTTGGTTATAGAAAAATGTCTGTAAATATTAATTTTTCATGATTTTATCAATTATTCACAATTACATTTTATTACGGTTTAATTATTCTCTACTTGTTTAAAAATTTTAGTTGTGACTTTGAAAATTTATAACTAAAAATTTCAGTTGAAAAAATTCAATGCAGTAGTTTTCCGTGAAATATCTTCCAATAAAATTCTCGTTTCTCTCACAGGAGAGAGATGTGGCTGAGGGTGCTGACATGATAATGGTGAAACCTGGCTTGCCCTATCTGGACATCGTGAGGCTCACCAAAGAGGCCCATCCCAATCACCCGATGTTCATTTACCAAGTATCTGGGGAATACGCTATGCTGTACCACGCAGCCAAAAATGGCTCTATAAATCTGAAGAATGTTTTACATGAGGTGCTACTATCCATGAGGAGAGCTGGAGCCGATTGTATCATCACGTACTTTACTCCATTGATTCTAGACATGATTCACACTCGAAGTAGACTTTAAAATACCAAAGTATTTGAATAATAATGTAAGTGCTCCTCACTGACTCCATCATCAATGGATTATTCCGTAGTGTACATGGCAAGCAGGATGAATGAACCGGTGGCCTTGACCTCTTAGAAAGTCTTCGGAAGTCATAGAATTTCGAGGAATTCAACGCTAGAATATTTCAACGGTCCTTGATCCCTTCGAACAGTTTCGAATGATTTGAGAATTTGAGATTTTGAGAACATCACTTCCATTGTACTTTTTATTTATAATTTTTTCTGCAAATATTGATAAATTTCCATCGGCTTGCAGAAAACTCCTTCATTCTTTCTATTCTATTATACAATTTTTCAAAACATTTCAGATTACCAATTGGTGCTGGTGCGGTGAAAGGGAATTACAAATTAGTACTTAATTTAAAATAGTACAACTCCACAAAGTGTCGTCAGCGAGCCGTTGAGAACAAATATCGCATGTTAATTGCAGAGATTTAAACCCTCAACCCCAGAAAATACGAGTGTCATAATGACTGCCAATACCTAGGATTGTTAATAAACTTGAATGACAGAATCCACCGACAAAAATGTTTCACCCATTATTTTCCAATACTCTTTCCTTCAATTTATTTCAGAAAGTGGTTGTTCAATCCCTGAATCTTCTGAGATTACTTACTGAAAATTGCAACAATTAAATTATTTTTAAAAATGTTAACAAAAAATAATCTTCCACCTCCAAGAACAAAATATACGGAATCTCCTGGAAATTTCTGGCTCTTTTTAGATGATACTGTAGACGTGGGCCAATGAGATGCGGACACCGGTCGTTTCAATCTCGAATCAGCTGCGATATTTCCGTTGCCACGTCGACATCTCAGCCAATGACATCTGGCCACGCCGAAATCAGCCCGTTAATATGCTCTGCCCTGAACTCAGTCGGCAGTCAGTTACATACCACACACCGTAGAAGTAAAGTGTTCAAGTTAGCGGATAATTGTCGTTGAAAAATCATTCCACCATTTCAACCGGAGCTGAATTTATTTAAACGGTAAATAACGCTTTTTCAATAACTCAAAATAATAACTACGAATTTATTCTGTTTCTGTTCTCTTCTGTTCTCTTATTTTTTGCTCCAAAAACCGATAAGTCCATCGCCACGTACTCCTTACCACGTACTTGTACCGTTACAATTCCCGTTGTTTTATTCCAAAAGTTTTCGGTCGAGTCGATTTGATCATCTTTACATTATTTTAAAGATATTTCTCATTTCAAGTGGTAGATTCGGCGTTTCGATGGTGTGAATGACATTTGTGAGAGGAAATCGTGTTTTAGAAATTTCTGGAACTGTTAGTGGGTTCATCATGCCGGTAATCGGGATTTTTTTTTTGGTAATTTTGCGGATGTAAAGAATTGTCTGAGTCAACGATTTCAAGTAATGAGGACATGACTGCATTTTCTGGGGGAAGAGATAGGAAATTGTTGGATTTTATTGAGAACATGCGAGAGGCGTTTACAATATTCTAACCCATCCCTAGGAGGTAATGGGTCTCATTTGGAATTGTGATTGGATTAATTCTCCTTTGAAGTGGTAAAAGAAGATGTTTTAGCTCTTCGGTGAATTTTTCAGAAATGTCTCGGAAACTAAGGGAGATAAATAAATTCTCGTTCAATCCTTTTTTATCCAGTTAATTGAGAGCTATAAAAAAGGTTATTACAAAAATTTAATTATATCCCTTAGTTTCGGAGATATTTCCAAAAGCCTCGGCATTGGTCGACTCATCTGGTTTACCTCTTCAATTTATTATTTATGTGATTAGGAGTGGAATTGGTAAAGGAGATATCAATTCTGAATTTTCCATATAACAGGCGAGCGTATATTTTGAAAACGCAAAATTTTCTAAATCGCAGAACCCGGAAATACGACACATCGTTTTAGTACCCACACGTCACGTGTTCTTGTATTTCTCAATGTGTGTTTGATTCATTGAATTTCCTCTGGCAAGTGAAGACAATATGGACGAATGGACGAATTTGTCAATTTATCAATAATGAAAGGAGGGGAATTTTTAATTGAATAAAATGCAGTTTTTATGAAGTAATTCTCTGGAATAATAACAATCTGATCGATTTGCAGATAAAGAGAGAGAGAGAGAGAGCAACCATGAAACGAGCTCTAACGTTTATGATAATAGGGCTGATAGCCCTGTTGGCTACAGCTAAAGATGAGAAGAAAGAGAAGGAGGACATTGGGACTGTCATCGGTATTGATTTGGGAACAACGTACTCATGGTATGTAATGGAATAAAAATAAAACTATTTCTTCCTCTCCCCTCACGTTTTTATACCAAATATTTACTAAAAGAAAATTAGTATATGTCCAAAACCGATTTTCAATCCGATTTCTCCATGTGAAATTTTTTTATAGTCAATTTTTAATTTCTGTTTCTCCTTCAACTTCTACAATTCAATAATTAATTCCAGTGTTGGAGTCTACAAGAATGGTCGAGTGGAAATAATAGCGAACGACCAAGGAAACCGAATTACTCCCTCATACGTGGCATTCACGGCTGACGGAGAGCGTCTGATTGGTGACGCAGCGAAGAATCAGCTGACGACAAATCCTGAGAACACCGTCTTCGACGCAAAACGTCTTATCGGTCGTGAATGGTTAGACCCAACAGTTCAGCATGATGCCAAGTTCTTCCCCTTCAAGGTTATCGAGAAGAACAGCAAGCCCCACATTAAAGTCTCCACAAAAGAGGGTGAAAAAATTTTCGCTCCGGAGGAGATCTCAGCGATGGTTCTTGGAAAAATGAAGGAGACAGCTGAGGCCTATCTTGGTAAAAAAGTAACCCATGCAGTTGTCACAGTGCCAGCGTACTTCAACGACGCCCAACGTCAGGCCACCAAGGATGCAGGAACTATTTCTGGTCTCCAAGTAATGAGAATCATTAACGAGCCAACAGCAGCAGCCATAGCCTATGGTCTGGATAAGAAAGACGGTGAGAAAAATGTTCTGGTGTTCGATCTGGGTGGTGGTACTTTCGATGTGAGTCTTCTGACAATCGACAATGGAGTCTTCGAGGTCGTCGCTACCAATGGAGACACCCATTTGGGTGGAGAGGACTTTGATCAGCGAGTGATGGATCACTTCATCAAGCTCTACAAGAAGAAGAAGGGCAAGGATATCAGGAAAGATAACAGAGCTGTTCAGAAACTTCGTCGTGAAGTCGAGAAGGCGAAACGAGCTCTCAGTGCCAGCCACCAAGTGAGAATTGAAATAGAATCGTTCTTCGATGGAGAAGACTTCTCAGAGACCCTCACCAGGGCGAAATTCGAGGAGTTGAACATGGATCTTTTCCACAGCACGATGAAACCTGTACAAAAGGTCCTGGAGGATGCTGATATGAGTAAGAAGGATGTGGATGAGATTGTCTTGGTGGGAGGATCAACGAGAATTCCCAAGGTTCAGCAACTCGTCAAGGAGTTCTTCGGTGGCAAAGAGCCATCTCGAGGTATCAATCCTGATGAGGCTGTGGCTTATGGAGCAGCTGTACAAGCTGGAGTACTCTCTGGTGAACAGGACACTGATGCCATCGTTCTTCTCGATGTCAATCCTCTGACTATGGGTATTGAGACTGTTGGAGGTGTCATGACTAAATTAATTCCAAGGAACACTGTCATCCCAACGAAAAAATCGCAGATCTTCTCGACAGCTTCTGATAATCAGCACACCGTTACCATTCAGGTATACGAAGGAGAGAGACCAATGACGAAGGATAATCATCTTCTTGGTAAATTCGATCTCACTGGAATTCCACCTGCACCCAGAGGTATTCCTCAGATCGAGGTAACATTCGAGATCGATGCCAATGGAATCCTGCAGGTGTCTGCTGAGGACAAGGGCACTGGCAACAGGGAAAAGATTGTTATTACTAATGATCAGAACAGACTGACACCTGACGATATCGATAGGATGATCAAGGATGCCGAGAAGTTCGCTGATGAGGACAAGAAACTCAAGGAACGTGTCGAGGCAAGAAATGAACTCGAGAGTTACGCTTATTCGTTGAAGAATCAGTTGGCTGACAAGGAGAAACTTGGGGCTAAACTCAGTGAGGAGGACAAGACGAAGATGGAGGAGGCTATTGATGAAAAGATCAAGTGGCTCGAGGATAATCAGGACACTGATCCTGAGGAATACAAGAAGCAGAAGAAGGAGCTCACTGATATTGTTCAGCCAATTATCTCGAAGCTTTACCAGGGAGCTGGAGGTCCACCTCCCCCCACTGGCAGTGAGGAGGATGATCTTAAGGACGAGCTATAAGTGACAGATTAATATTGAATTTGTCTAGTGTATCTCAGACTGAACTTTTGTTAATGCAAAGTAACTTAGCTTCCTGAGGGGTGCCCTGGGATCACCTGGGAAATGTTGAACAACTATGGGGGATTTCGGGGGGCATCCAGCGGTAGAATACCTTTCCTTATTGAAGGATTGCGATAGGGAACGAGGGGGACCAGGGAAATTTTTTCTGGTTCTGAGCGATCAAAGGAAATTTCTCTGCATTCCTCGGTTTATTTATTAAATGCAATTAACGTTTTATATATTATTTCATGAAGCGAAACTTGAAATGTTCTCGAGTGAGTCTTTTCAGGAGTGATGAGGTAAATTTCATGTGTGAAAGCCTGTTAGTAAACATTCATTCATTCTTTTGTATACATGAGAGTAAATGCGATCTGTGTGATGTGATTACATGTAACAGTATCACGATAATAAAGAATTTTTTCAATAACTTGGGAGTTTGTTCCTTTCGAAGTATTGCTGGGGGAAATGAAGAAAAATTTAGAAATCTTCTGGTAGTAATTTGTTTTATACGTCATTTATTTGACCTTAGATTTCTGAAACTCGAGGTAAAAATGGGGACAATTTGATGGTTAAGTAAAAGCCACTTCTACATGATTTTTTTTTATTTGTATACGTGTAAACACTCAATGATCATTACAAACGAGTAAAAATTTATTGTTATTACGCAACAAACGGAACATAAATAACAATGTTTTTTTTTTTCAATTACTTTAGATTAATTTTTTCGTTCAGATATTTCTGGGGTTTTTCGTCAGTTTCCTGGTCGTTCAATTCTATTGAATAATAATTCCATTGATATATCCGGCTGTTATCATGATTTTGATTGCCTCCGTGAACATTCGGTTTTCCTCGGTTACGATAAACTTTGACTGTAATATCACAGGATTTGAACAGTATTTAATTTAGTTATTTTATTTAGCCCAGTCATGTGTTTTTTCGTTACTTCAGATATCGGCTATCCAGATGTCATCAATAGAATTGAACGAGTTTGTAAGTCTAAAAAACTCTTTGGAGCTAATTGAATATCACAGTTATTGAATTTTCATCAGTTTTTGTCTTGTCTGAGATTTTTTTATCACTAATTCTTCATCACTCGCGCATTGACTTTAGTTCACGAAATTGTATCAATGGCCTGTTGTCCTGAAATTGGCGGAATGAGCATGTTGCTGTAATATCCTGAATTATGGCCTTGCGTGATTGATAAGTCGTATAAAAGTATCCACTCGAAAGCGAAATAACTATATCCAAAATGAATAAAATGCATATCCCCTTGTTACATGTGATTTCCACTTCATTGAAGTTTCAAATCTTCGATTAAGCTAATTACTCTAGCAATTATCGTCTAGTTACACGGGTGTTCTGCATATCATTATTAATAGTTGAATGCCACTACCAGAGCTGGATTTTTTTTGTAATTACTTTACTTTAATTACTAGAGGGGATTCGGGGGAAAGTAAGATAGAATGAACACATTTTTGTAAAAATATATAGTACTAGAAAATTATCTCACGGGTTTAGAGAAGTTCATCACAATTATTTCCTTGAATTCCCATGATCTCTTCCGAACGGGGTTTATCTGCAGATTCAATAGCTTTAAAGAACTAAATAATCATTTTTTAAAATTATTTTCCACCAGCCCTGGTAAATTCCCTCGCCCTTTTCTGTTTAATGAGCTAATAAGTTACTTGAACAAAATAAAACAATGACAACAATCAACATTTCTTGATTCTTTGCAGTGATGACAATGAAAAGAAAAGAAAGCGTCGAACGCAGAATTTTCTCAGCCCGTGAATCCAGTAAAAAAAATCAGTCGCGAAGTGGGGAATAAAGAGGTGGTAGTTAGTGAAAATATCGCGAAAAATAACGCAATTTGTGTATGTACCTTTCTTGTAGGTCTCGATGAGTTCTAAAAAAAAGTTCTCACTAAAATTTCTCACAAAAATTGCTCTATCCCTCGTAGATCTCGAGATTTTCGTTGAAAACAGAATTAATAATACAATGCCATACATGGAAAAGCATTTTTTGAAATGCACTTATGTCTTTTTACCACTTTGCTACTGACATCACTGTCAGGTGAGTTCTGCTGAGTTCTTCAATTTTGAAGAAACTACCAGCACCGTGCAAGGATTATTATCACTTAGTACTAGACTTCACTCTAGTGTTAGTAATATGTAAAATCAGGAACATTTTAATAAGCTTCTCGCGAGAGAAAAATAAAATGAGAGATTCAAATTGTTCATCGGTTTCGTCGGGAATGATTGAAGGTAATTCGAATTATCTTCGACCTACGGTTTCAGGATTTTTGTTTTTTAAAATTAGGCTTCTTCTTTTTTTGTACCTGCTGATCGTCGACATGGGACGAATAATCGATTAATCATTCGGATAATCATAGATATTTTGCAGTGGGCAGTTAGAACTGGCGTCTGGCGAAGGCTTCGATGATCCTGGGGATGTGAACGTCGAAACCACAGACGGTTAAAACGTCACTGACGTTTCTACCTTCCATGTAAGTCGACGTCGAGCCCACGACCCAATTAACCAATCTGAAATCAATGAAATTGAAATATGACAGAAATTAGTAGGCAAATCGAATACTTTTTTATTAGGTGAAAAAATCTATTCATTATCCCATAATACGGTACATATGATTGAAATTATCGAATTTCACGTACCTCGTACCGGGGAGATTCATCTTTTTCTTATAAAGGTCCATCGCCCGCCCAGTGAAATCGTACTTCTCCCTCATCTTATCGACAACATTAACGAACACATCGTACTTCCTCCTGTGATGTGCAGCCCACAGCATGGGTTTCCCAAGATTGGGTGGTCCAGTCGACCTGGCCTTCATCCTCTCAACAGTCTCCTGAAAGGTTGCACTCTTTTCAATATGAACAGGCCGAGCATTGAGGCCCTCAGTTCCAGTGAAAGTTGACACAGTGACCTTCTCCTCAGCCCTGAGAAGCCCAAGAGCAAGGATACAGGCGGCCTCGACCACCCAGGGAATATTCCCCTCGATCTGTCCCACTTGGCAGCTCTTTCTCCATCCCCCAGTGCTGACAGTTATCAGATATTTCAGCCCAGTGCCCTCAACATTGGAAAAGGAAGTGTTCAACGCCGAATAGATGGCCTCAATGACTTTCTTGTCAGGCCTGGAGATTCTCTTGTGCTTGAGTTTATTCTTCCTCCCAATTCGTCTCTTAACGGGCATGGGAACTCCTTCAGGATTTTCGTAGTTCTTAGCAGCTAGAAGCAGCTCAGATGGACGGATTTTTGACTTCAGCACTTGATCTTTATTGAGAAAAGCCGTGATGATTTTATCGGTGAGCTGAGAGCCCGCTGTGAGGAGTCCAGCATTGTGAATTCTCTGGAGATTCAGGACGATTAATGGGAAATCCATGGTGTCGATGAGGGCCTCCCAGACATCAGGAGACTTCATCAGCCCTGGATTCACGTGCTCTAGGGTGTAATGATGGGTTCGAATGAGGGCAGCTGCTCTCACTGGATCGTCACACTGTCTAAAATCCTCGACTCTCTCGATAAACTCCAGAACCTCCTGGGTCTTAGACTCATTCGAGAACTCCAGTTTTGTTTTTTCAAGGCCCAGAACTATGTACTTGAGGACTGCTTGGACATCAGGAGGTGATCCCTTCGTCGAGAGATGCGAGAGCTTGATGATGTCCTTGTGGGTCCAACCGTGTCTGCTTTTGTATCTCGTCACACTGTTTGCCAAATCTTTAGAACCTTGGGAAAGGTACCAATCGTTCACTGCTGATCTCCACCCATGCCCATATCCATGTCTTGGGATTAACTGTTGTTTACTCAGCCTCGAGGCAAAGCAGATAAACAGCAGGAAGTGCTCTGGGTTCTTGCAGTGCTGAGACACGTACTCGTAAGCTCCTCGGCGAAGTTTCTCACTCTTCTGTTGGCGAGCTGATGCTGCTAGGGCAAAAATAAATGTCTCTGGCTGTTGAATCAGTCCTAAGGACAGAGCTGATTTTATTTTTTCAAGGGGCAGCAGCTCAGTTTCTGGGGAAGACGCGAGCTCCTCCAGGGAGGGCAGCTTCTCCAGGGCGATGTTCGTGACAGCTGACCAAGAACCTGAGTGGTACACTGGGTACTCTTTACCCACGTACAAGTAACGAGTGAAACGATTACCCGGAGTCTCGTGCTCGGGAGACGTAATCGGTTCCACTGCCATCTCCGGGGTCAGTTAACTAGAAATTGTGAAAGTATCGCATTAAGTTCTTCAATGAAATGTTCCTGTGAAATGTCTTTACGCGTGTCATTTGTGGTTACGTTTGCATAATTACTAATTGGTACCTGCGACAATAAAAATTAGACAATAAACACCCTCATATGTTTCCAACTGACATAAATAATGAACGCCAGTTAAAGAGAAAATGAATCACGAGTTTTTTGGAGAAACCACTGTCATAAAAATACTTAATTTCACCGTAAAAATTTATGCATAAAAAAAAACTTCTGATATTCTCGGCGTATTATTGGTTATTGTTAACTTCGGAGAATTATTCATTGGGAGTTAGTCAACCAGTTTCATTGGAGAACTCACAATGCACGCAATGAGCTGAAAATGATGGAGAATAACTGAAAAATTGACAGGTGAACCAAAGAGGATTGACTAAAGTAGAGGCTCAGTTCTGGGGGTTCGAGTGACCCCAGCGGCATCGTAGTACTGCACCCCAAGAGAGGGAGGGCGCAGCACGCAATGCTGGGGTGTTTTTTTTTATTAAACCAAGTTTTTATTGCAATGCTGGGGTGTCCATCAAGTCGATGGGGTGAATTTTATTTTCTGCTGTACGAATGTTTTTTGTTTTTCATTTGTTTAACTGAAATTTAGCCGACTGTTGAACGTACGGAAGGGGGAAACCACATCTTGTGAAATTTCAATGGAAAAAATTATTCAATATGTTGAACATATACCACTAATAAAATTATATTTTTGTAAAAAGTGCGTTGTCCTATCGGTAACGTGCTCGGCTAGCATGCCGACGGCTGGGGTTCGATCCCGCCAACATTAATTTTTTTTTTATTTAAATAATTC